GATTAACCTGCTGGTGTGTGCCAAACTGCGGTGGCATGGCAATACAGCGGATCTCCTTCACCTGAGGATTGTCTGGAGGACTTATGCCATAAAGGTAACCCGCAATCTGAGTGCGGAGGTCAGCTATGCATATGAACTTCTTCAAGATATTCTTGGGCATAATGTAAGTATATCCCGTTTCCTTCGTGAATTAATCAAAGAATAAAATTAGAAAAATAAACACATATAAGAAATTTATGTCATATCACATACATATCTATTGAAAAAACTTGGGGAATAATACCTTAATGTCTTCCGAGTTAACATATATGTGATTGACACGAAGATGGAGATTTGTGGCGGATATAGCTCGGACACGCCAGTCAGTTTTCGAGCCGAATGCTGCCTGTTCATATGGACTGGTAGTCGTGACGATGATGGAATCACCATGCACATTTGCAGTTCGGGTAGTGACTGCTGTGAGCTGACTGGCCTCCTTTGCCTGGAAGAATAATTGATAACGTGGCATATTATTAACTGGGTCCAGTCAATTGAATGGAAAAAAAGAGAAAATACATGTCATAGAAATAGGGAAATGACCTGTTTCTCAATTTCAGCAATTTGTTGCCGCTGTTGTGAAGGCGGAGTGATCTCAGCTCCAAGAATTATATCACGAATTTCTGACTGGGTCAATGCCGACGTGTTTACATTGTTCTTCTTGGCATAGTCAGAAAGTATCAGATCTCTGAGGGCAACTTCAACCTGCAGGCCAGAAAAAGACAGAATAACAGAAATGCCATAGAACAGAATAAATGAAAAGCAATTATACATATACAAAGGTCAGAAAAAGACGGAATAATAGAAATGCCATAGAACAGAATAAATGAAAAGCAATTATACATATACAACTTTTCTGATGAAGCATGAGTATAAAAAGCACACAATTATCTTTTGAAATAAGAGATAGCCCCTCGACTTCCTATGCTTTTTTTCTCACAATGAAACTTACAAGGAGAAGCAATATTTATAGAGAATACAAATACAATGGGATATTAATTATTTTGAAGGATGCGATTCTTTTTTCCACATGAGGGTAGTTTGAGTGGTTATTCCAAAAATAATATTCCCAATGCGAAGTTACTAAACAATCTCACCTTTGTCCATTGGTCATCTGATAAAGAAGGCCAGATATGGTGGGGCTCAGTGATGATAGTCTTGTCAGGCTTTAGCAACATTTTTGCCTTCTCATTGTTGACATGAAGAGCTCGCAAAATCAAAATCAGCCTGGAGAAAGCTGTGTAAGATGATATAGTCTTCAACCAATCATCATATATGTTGAACAAGACCATCTGCGGCTCTGTGGCCTTCAGGATCAAATCGCCAAATTTCTCAATCTTCAAGCAGGCCTGGAATGGCAGTTGAAGCTCACTTCCTTTGATCACGATGTTTGGGAAATCAAGCAAGTGAACTTCAAGAGGATCCAACATTCCTTTCCGTGTCACAATGATTTGTTTCGGTTGCTCTTCAACAGGCAAAGACCGGACAAGAGCAGCAACTTCTTCAGCAGTTTTCCACTTGGCCAGCTGACCAAGACGCTTTTGCCCAGCCCATACACTCGTGTGAATGACCTGTACAAGCACAACAGCAACAAGTGATAAGTTCTGTGTCCAAACTGCATTAAAATGAAAACCAGGTAAGCAGCACTCGGAAAACAAACCTTCAAAAATAGTTGCCCAGTTCTAGGGTTAAATATGAAAATGGCACCATTGATGGGTTTTGTCGTGAGATTTCCCTCGAATGTCTTGTGTATTGTGACACGATACACATTCGTGTCATCCACAAACCAGATTATCTGATTGCTGAATATCTCCCCATAATTTTGAGATGACAAGTAAGGTTCTGTAGGTTCCGAAGAATACAATTGTAGCCCTTTTCTTATACGTTCTCTTAGAACATACAGGGCTGGATTAGACTGCATGCACAAAAATACATATATAATTAGCCAAGTCTCCATTTTCCATCATAAATAATATCTCACTGTTTAATCTTATTGTTTATAACTGAATAAAGATGACAAGTTAAACTGTACTTGAAATACATAACATATAAGTGTATATAACCTTCATGATCTTGTTCATGGCCTGAGCAAGCAAAGGCTTCGACCCGGGGAACCAATTTCCAAACGCAGAATGCAGATTATAAGCTAAATCAATTCCAATCATGACCCCTGCAAATAAGATGATATGAGCTAAAAATTTTAATATGTACAACAATTATCATAATAGATGACATAAACTAAAACCATACCAGTTGGCGATGGATAGATCGACATATTGTCAGTTGTATAGTCCATAAACTTCGCCCTGGTGTACCGCTCAATATCATGGGAATCATAATCACCCCACCTAAGCTGCACATCTATCCAGTACTTATTACTAGCCTTTTGGTCAAACACATCCTTTGACTCGGCAACAAGACTAGGCTTTGACATGGGCCATCTATGGGCAGCAAAGAGTAGGATATCGGCACATGAACTGTTCATTTTGTAACTCTTTCTAGGGTGGATAGTTTCTTTCTGTACAGTTTCGATCTCGAGGGCATCCAGCTCTTGATCCAAAACCTGGCAAAGATCCATCACCACACTCTCGTGTATCTTCTGCCACAAGTGGGCACGGAATATCTGAATCAGAGATATCTTTAGAGTTGGTATCTTTCCATGCATGAAAATCCCAGTGAGATCCAGCTGTACTTGGAAACCAACATATACATTTGCTCTGTTGATAGTAGGCGACCACCAAAGCGTAAACCTCCTGTTAGGAATTTGATTAAGTCCAGATCTCTGTGCGTTGGTCAATTTCTTGTACTTCATGGACTCCTCAAAACCTGAAGCCTTCTCCCAGAAAAGACCCTCCCACGTTGGGAAGCTGAACCAAATAGAAATAGTAAGACCAGCATACTCACACAAGACAACTTTATGGGTACACACTGGGACCAAGAAAACAAAAACCTGCAGATTCTCTTAAATGTGATGTTCGTTAGATAGATCACCACAAAAATAGAACGCAGTCAAGCCAAAAACAAAGCATTGATACAAAAATGATTTAACAAACTGCAGAGGCAGCCCAAAATTGAAATTTTTTAGGAAGTATTGAATTCTATCAAAGAATGGCACCAATAGATATGAACTTTGTGATACTTATACTTCATAAGCAATTTAAGACGCACACACATGTAGAAATGCAGGATGGGGATAAACAAAGAGCATATAGAAAAATGATCTTACTATGTTCCCTTGAACAATGTGTGTTCAAGAATTCCTTCGACTCCTCCCAGAGCCTGAATAACGTCAGTACGGTAATTGTTCAAGTTCCACAACTTTCCATCATGCCTCTGGTGAGTCCACCAGAATGGATTCTGTTTCAGCACCTGATACTGCTTAAAGTCTGTTCTCACTCGCCATCCTTTGTCATATGCAAGGGTGTGGCGGTCCTTCTGAAACAGGGTGTTGATTCGAGGAATCCCACGATCCCATGAATCCTGAAAAATAGAAAGTGTTTTAACATGTGTGTTTATAAATAATAAAATCAATGTCGAATACAAATGAAAAACAATGCAACTCAACCAACTGAACTGAACTCAGACAGGGATGGCAAACAGTAAGACCTATATAAGGATCGAACAAACTACCCAATTCATGATAATAATACCCACAAATTTAACTGTTAAAAGCCCTCAGCAAAAGAAACAAGGATGAAGATACAAATGACTAAAAATAAATGAGAACAACTCACTTCCAGGTCCTCCAAGGTCAATCGCCGATTCTGGGCCTGTGCTTCCTGCCTCTTCAATGCATATTCAGCCCAAACACGCTGAGAATCAATGAACTCACTCTCCCACGGCTACCATAGTCAAAGCGA